GCTGCTGCTGCTGCTGCTGCTGCTGCTGCTGCTGCTGCTGCTGCTGCTGCTGCTGCTGCTGCTGCTGCTGCTGCTGCTGCTGCTTTCCGCACAGAACTTCGTCATTTTGTGCCGCTTTTCCCTCGTTTCTGCTCCCCCTTGCCTCCCGAATCCCCGCAAACAAACAAATAAATAAATAAATAAATAAATTAATTAATTATTTATTTATTTATTTGTTTATTTATTTGCTGCTGCAGGCCGCGAGCGTGTCCGTGGGCGTGGGCAGCGTTGTGGGGCCGCTGGCAGCAGTGGAGGCGGAGACAGTTGTCGGAGACAGCAGCAGAATCCGGGACAGCTTTGTGGGGCGCTGCTGCAGCATCGGCAGCAGCAGCAGCATCGAGGGTTGCGTGCTGCTGTCGGGGGTTTTTGTCGGAGACAAAGTCTCCTTAAAAGACTCTTTTGTTGCTGCTAATTGCTGCATCAAAGCAGCAGCAACTGTCTCCCCGGGCTGTGTCTTGGGCCCTGGGGTGGTGGTGGGGGCCGGCGTGCTGCTGCCGCCCTTCACGCGCTGCTGCGTCCCCCCGCAGCAGCAGCAGCAGCAGCAGCAGCAGCAGCAGCAGCAGCAGCAGCAGCAGGACTTGGGGCCCGACGGAGTTGGGATCGTCGTTCCCTACTTGGGATCGTCTCCAGCCGACTTCGAAGTTCAAAACCTCGGGGTGTCTGTACTCCCCAGAATCAAGCTGCCTCTCCCCAAGTTCGACAACGACGATGACGAGGTCCTGCTGCTGCTGCTGCTGCTGCTGCTGCTGCTGCTGCTGCTGCTGCTTTTCGTTCTAGCGTTGGCGATGCGGCTGCTGCTGCGTTTGCTCTTGCGGCGCTGAGAAGCACGCGCGCTGCAGCTCCAGCAACGGCAGCAGCAGCAACAGTAGCTGCTGCTGCAGCAACAGCAGCTGCTGCTGCTGCAGTCTGCTGCTGTTCTTGCTGCTGCTGCTGCAGTTGGTGCCGTTGCTGTTCTCGTTTGCGTTGCTGCAGTAATGATGCCGCTGCAGTTTTGCTGGTGCTGCTGCTGCTGCTGCAGCAATTGCTGCTGTTGCTGCTGCTGCTGCTTCATTCTGTCGCCTTGCTGCTGCTGCTTCCGGCGCTGCTGCTGCTGCTGCTGCTGCTGCTGCTGCTGCAGGATGCTGCGTTTGCTGCTGAGATAAGCGCAATGGCGCTGGAGGCGCTGCAGCAGCCGCAGCAGCAGCAGCACAAAATTTTGGAAATGAAAGCTTACAGATTGGCCAGCAACAAAACAGATGGAGATGTTGCTGAGATTCTTTTCTTCACTTTGCTGCAGCAGCTAATTCTCGAGGCCCCCCGAACCAAAGAAGTAAACCCTAAACCCTAAACCCTAAACCCTAAACCCTAAACCCTGGCGGGCCGAGGGGGTCTGTTCCTGTTCTTCATTGCGGACTTGCTGCTGCTCAGCTGCAGCTGCACCGCGCAGCCCCAAATGCTCGTTTGCGCCTGCTGCTGCTGCTGCTGCTGCTGCTGCTGCTGCTGCTGCTGCTGCTGCTGCTGCTGCAGGGCTGGCAGGACTTCGTGGCTTCGAGGCGGTGCGGGACGCTGCTGGCTCCGTTCGTTGCTGCTGACGACTCGCTGTCTTTGCTGCTGCTGTGGGGCCAGCTGCTGCGCTGCTGCAGCAGCAGCGAAATAGTGTTTACGGACTTAGAAGGAAAAGAAACAAAAACCCTAAACCCTTTCGAGGGCCCCACAGGCTTCTGCCGTGCTGCTGAGCTGCTGCATGCTGCTGATCTTTTCGACGTCGAGACTTCTCTCCCGGCCTGGGTTGCTGCTGCTGCTGCTGCTGCTGCTGCTGCTGCAGCAGCAGCAGGCGCTGCTGCGGACGGGGGGGCGCCAGCAGCAGCCACGAACGGCACGCAAGCAGCAGCAGCACCCGCAGCAGCACCCGCAGCAGCAGCAGCAGCAGCAGCAGCAGCAGCACCCGCAGCAGCAGCAGCAGCAGCAACAGTCACGGAAACCCTCGTGCTGCAGAGCCTCCGGTGTCTCTCTTCTCCTGCTGCAGTTTTGCCTTTTCTTGAATGTCCCCGGCTGCAGGCTTTTGTGGAGTGGCTGAAGGACGAGGAGACAGAAAGCGATTAAAACATTTTATTTGCTGCTGCTGCTGCTGCTGCTGCTGCTGCTGCTGCTGCTGCTGCTGCGGGTGCAGCAGTGGCGGCAGGGC